AAGTTAATATGCATGAAATTAATACTTAATGTACAATTTGCAGGTACAGTAGGAAATGCAAACAAAACCCTGTACTTTTGTTCCAGTAACCTTCAACAACCTTCAAGAACACAGCGCTGCCGCAGCCCCAAGCTTTCAGCCTGGGTGTTGATACTTTGACTGCAGATGTAGTTGTATTTCCGAAGAAGGGGATGCAGTGGCCAATCAGCATCAACGGTCAGACCCAAGTTAATGTACATGAATCTAGTGCGAATTGCAAGAAATGTAAACAAACACCTGAAGTGTCTAAACTTGTAACCTCCAAAATACCTTCAGGAGTACATTTATAGCTACAGGATTACTGAGGAGTGTTGCAGATGAACATGTATGTGTTGGACAGGATATGAGGATAAACTCTGTTTCCTTGATTCACCATCTATGCAAGCCAAGTGGTCAATTCTTGTTCAGTAAACTCTTAATTTATCTGAAATGTCTGCTCTGGGGAAGATAATTTATTCTGTATGTCTCCTGTGAGGCATCAGCTGACTGGTTGACCACAACCACTTCAATCCCAGGGGTAAAGTACCATTTCCTTGTGTAGCACCCCCTCAATCATGAGGTTTCATACTCTACTTGGTATGGGGTCCAAAGCTTGCCTTCAGTGTAAAGCAGATGAATGAATAAGATGAGAACTGACCAATTGGCTTGCAAAAATGGCTAACTGAAGAAAGGAAGTTCATCCTCATACTCTCTCTAGGAGATAAATGTTCAACTATGGCAGTGATGTTTAATCCTCATCAGAAAGTTCACAGCTTTGGCTTGAAATGTGCTCTTGAATGTTTTAGAGGTTATAAGAATAAAATAATCAGGGTTATATATACATTTCTTGTATCTTCAAAATATTTGCATTTAGCACTACATTCATGTATTTGTACCTAGACTTTGCCCCTGACCATTGATGCTTACTGGCTATTGTAAATCATTTTTCGGAAATAAGGCAACACCTGTGGGCAAATGCCCTGAGCTGCAGCAACTCTTGTGTTCTTGAATGTCATTGAAGGTTATTACATCAAAAAATTACGGGTTTTCTTTACATTTCCAGCTATACCTATAAATAATTTAGTAAGGACGGAATTCATGTGGACTTCTGTGCCCTGCACCCCTTAATGTTGATTGGTTTCTTAGCCATTTACCTGAGGGGGGGAGGGGTGGTCCAATGATAACGCCTATGCCCCCCCTGAAGGCGTGGTTTCGTTTATTGTACCAATAGATTGTGCAGTGGCCCCGCCCCTTAATGCTGATTGGCTACTCTGTCTCACAGAAGGTCCTGCAAAGGAAAGTAACGGGGTGCAACGGAAAGTACCGGGGTTTGTTTACATTTCTTGCTGTATGCACAAAATGTGCTCAAATACTGTCTTGCTCCGGGTTTTCCAAGTAACTGGTGCTAACATAAAGTTCCTGGGTGCTAACGGAAAGTTCCGGGTGTTTGTTTACATTTCTTGCTGTATGCACAAAATGTGCTCAAATACTGTCTTGTTCCGGGTTTTCCAAATAACCTCCGGGTTTTCACAAAAACCGTTCGGGTTTTCCAAGTAACCGAAGATAATTAAAACGAAAAAGTACCGGGATTTTTAAATTTAATTCATTTGCGATCAATACTGTGCTCCTGGGGTCGTTCAAAGTACCAGGTTTTCCTGATAACCGAAGGCCATCAAACCAAAAGTATCAGGTTTTCCTGCCACCCGAAGATCGGTAAAATGTAAAGTACCGGGTGTTTTAAATTTAATTCCTGATGGCAGAAATTTTGCTCGTCTTCATCCACAGCTTGTGTATTGTGGTGAAATATTAAGGAAAAAATCTATTGATGGGGCTGGGATATTGTGGGTGATAAAGTGGTGGATCTTGAAGACTTTACTCATTACCCATAAACCAGCAGTAGTAGTAGCAGCAGCAGCCACAGCATTATTGTGAAGTACTCCTTCGTATGTCACATTTCCTTTCTACACATATTTGTAACAGACTTACCTGTAGGAATATTTTAATGATACATCAGTCATGGATCAATAGGTTCAGGGAGGGGAGCATACACAACCAGCAATGTGATCTCATAATCCTGTTTTAAAGGAAAAAAGTTGTGACACAAGGTGATAAAATATTCTTGGGCTATAAGCCATGACTGATGATAGGCAGAGATGGTTCATGCGACATCGGTGATACTTAACCAACCGCCAGAGCAGATTTCATTCACTGCAGCTGTCATGGAAGCTTCAGCTCTTGTGTTTAACGTGAGGTTTACACTGTAGTTAAAAAGGTAAAGCAGGGTAATTTTATTTCAGATGTACACAGTATTTGTTACATGCCATAGGAAATTGAAAATGTGACTAGCCATACATGAATAGATAGCTTATACCATTTTGTAATGAAAGTACAGGCAGTGTTCTAAGCACCTTTGACTATTTTTCCACAGTCACCACCCCAGTTCAGGCATTTGTCCCATCACACCACTAATTTGGAGATGCCGCTGTTGTAGAATTCGGCCAGTTGAGAGTGGAACCACTGCCAGACAGCGGTTTTTGCATCGTCATCGGAAATGAACCTCTGACCTACCACGAACTTCTTCAGTGGACCGAACACCTGGTAATCAATGGGGGAGAGGTCTGCACTATACGGTGCATGCTCCATAATCTCCCTTCTGAATGACTGCAGTCACGCCCGGGGATTCTCGTGGACGTTGTGGTTCTCCTCCATGACAACGCCAGGCCTCATGTGGCAAACAGGACCGCCACCCAACTGCAGTCATTCGGATGGGAGATTATGGAGCATGCACCGTATAGTCCAGACCTCGCCCCCAGTGATTACCGCATGTTTGATCTACTGAAGAAGTTCCTAGCAGGCCAGAGGTTCATTTCCGATGACGCGAAAACTGCAGTCCGGCAGTGGTTCCACGCTCAACCTGCCGAATTCTACAACAGCGGCACCTCCAAACTAGTGGTGCGATGGGACAAATGCCTGAACCAGGGTGGCGACTATGTGGAAAAATAGTCAAAGGTACTTAGAACACTGCCTGTATTTTGATTTCCCTGTATGTGTATTATTGTGGCTCAAAAAAAAATAGGGGCAAAGACTTTTCGATTTGCCCTCATATATTTGTCTGCAGTGTTGGTTAAAACAAATTACAGAGCATTACATTTCAGAAGACTTGTCCTCAATAATATTGCGGAACAGTCAGGATGTGATAGAACGTATGTAGTAGAAGTCTACACTTACAAAGCTGGCAGTACATTCCTCCAAAATGTTGGCGGACTCCTACCCACCTACACAGCGTCACTTCCTACTTCCTCATAATCACTGCCATGAATATCTCAAATGTTGCACAGAACACTGGTGCTTGTAGATGACTGTACTTCCATTTATGAACAAGAAATATCGGCACACTACAAGCATACAGTAATTGTGCTGTACTGATTAAACTGAACTGTGATCAGTGCAGATGAATTACATTACATAATGAAATCAAAGTGTCGGAGCATTGTTTGAACAAGTCTTCATCACAGTAGTGAGCCTGTTAGGAAATCTGTACAAATTAATAAGAAACGGCAAGTCTGCCATTGCAACCATTTAAAGCTATCGGCCTGATGCTTCAGTGGCCCTGCCTGGACTCCAACTGCATGTGGCCACCTCAAGTTTACAGTAAAACTTTGAGTGCATACAAATATACCATGAAATTTAAGCATTTTATATATCATTTTTCCTAAAGATGATATACATTTAAATACTACAAGAAGTGAAACTATTTTATTGTACCTTTCTCAACAGGACACTGACCAATAAAGAAACAAAATCTTCAGTTTCTTTTGATAGGTGTGTCATACCTTCTGTTTGAAAATCATTTACTGAAAAATTAATTACCTATGGTAAGGACGGATAGTAATGACCATCAATTACCATAAGGAGACTGCTCTGAGTGAGAATGTTACAAACTAAAATCAACTTCACACATAATTCCAACCTTGCAAGTAACCACACTAACTGAACAACATATTCTTCATGCACCTAATGGAGTAGGTGTACATGCTTTAAATTATAATCCCTATTTCATGAAGAAATACACAAATGTAACAACTTTTGTAATAATGTGATTTTAAGTCAATTTCAATTAACAAAGACTAAAACACACTGAAACTGTCTTAAATAATTAGGTGGCTGGAATATATGTGACTGAGGTTGTCAACTTAAAGAGTTATACATTACTGATATCAAGAAAAATGTATGTTTGGGAACACCTGTAGTCTGTCTGGGTACCTACTTAAGTGAAGATTAGCAACACTTCAGGATTACAATTCAGACTTCAGATAATGTTCAGCATTGACTTATATATTCATTTTGGGTTCAAATCATTATCCCCACCTCCAAGAAGATGCCTTAAGATCAGCCTTACACAGTTTCATGACCTGATATTATTGGCCGAGTCTATGTGTCTTTCGAGTTTTCATATACCTACAGAGGACTCTTTATCATCTGCATGTGGATTAAACACAGGAATTTTATAACCGCATATAAAATTTGTAACCACTGTCCAGTGCAATTGATAAAAGTTGTTTTCAATGTTTCATCCTTTATATGTTTCAGTCAAAACGACCATCTTCTGGAAACTACAGTTACCTGTCATAGATATATATCTTATATCATTTAACTAATATTAAGATGTACTTTGATTTGTTAAAACATTTAAAATTATTACAAAAGTGTAAGGACAAGAAACCAAATTGGTTCTAGTTTAAAACAAATACTGAACATTATTTTGCAGACTAATTGTAATAATTTTTAGATGTTTTAACAAATCAATGTACAACTTAATATTACTTAAAAGATATAATATATACGAGTATATGTATGACATGTAATAGCAGTTTCCATACGTATTGATAATATCCTTCTGAAGATGGTCGTTTTGACCGAAACATGTAAAGGATGAAAGATTAAAAACAACTTTTATCAATCACACTGGACAGTGGTTAAAACCCTTACATACAATTACTAGTGTGACGGACCAGGATGAACCAAGTTACTTTTATAACCCATTACAAATGTTTCAGTGATATATCAGTGGTGCTTTACAATGATTTGCAGTAGACTGTACATCTTCTGATTCTGTTGCTTGTATAATTTTACAGCTTTCCATACTGGCCTACAACTGAACAAGGGTTTCTTTCTTCCATTGGAAGGATACACTATTGCTATTGCAATCAAGAAAGACCAAATATAATTACTTCATGACTGATTTAGCTTAGAGGCTGTTCATCTGGCTCAAGTCCTATAAGCAAGAAACTCATCACTAGAAATTGTACTTTCCAGCTTACAGGTGCCAACAGGTTACCTAAGGAAGCAGGAGAACCACTGTACTCATTTGAATGTGACATGAACTCTGTGGCCTTCCTTCCAGTACACACAGGCACTGTCGGCAGCTGCAAGCTGTCTTATTGAAAAATAGAGATGATATTCCAGACAGTAAGAAACAATAAAAAAATCGCCAAAGTTCAGAGTTGGTGCCAGCATATTTCATGAAGAATTTGCAGTTTTGTTTTTGAGATGGTTGCCCTGAAAAAGAAAGAAATAAAGAAAATGTAGTAATGCTCATGTTAAACTTTAAGATCTCACAAAAACCTCACATGATGGTTTTCTTCTTGAAAATGAAATTTCATATTCTGCATCAGAAACAGANTTTTTTTTTTTATTAGAACTGGTTGTTCTTTTCAATGAATGCAGACAAAAAGCATACTCATGTTTGTTTACCACCACTAAGGACCACAAATGGAGACTGCATTTCTTTCTGCTTCTGCTGCAGGAGGCTAAGCGTTCCGAGTGGGTGTCTGTTGAGCTCATCTGTTTCATCAACTGGAAACAAAAAAAAATTTCCTTTGGATGGGGCACAGTCTGTTTGCTCTTAAACATACTGTAATATCTACAGTTCATGTCACTGATTATCCTAACAGGTGGCCAAATTTTAAGCTTTTTTATTTTTTGTTATTGCTAGTGAGGTGGGACTAAGTCCCTTGTACTGCGGCCACTTCTGGCCTATTGTACAAGTCCCAGATGATAGCTGAGGGTGATTGTGTAACAACTGGTGGAATGAAGATTGGCAGGTGAAACTGAAGTACTCGGAGAAAATCTGCCCCAGAGCCACTTTGTCCACAACAAATCCCACTTGACCAGATCCTGTATCGAACCTGGGCCACCATTTTGGGAAGCCAGTGACTAACCGCTTGAGCTATGGCACAATACAATGTTGATGATCATAACAATTTTCTGTAGAATTCTCAGTGAGTTTGCATGCCAATTTGAAACATATTCAAGAGAGGACATAAACCATCACCTATCCTCCCTGCAGGCTACATCTTACCTAAAGCCATACACGTCTTCTCCAAGCGAATTCTCCTCATCGCTGTCCTCTGCTGCAATGTACTGCACTTCCAAGTGCATGTCAAACTGTATCTGCAAGATATCCACAGCTTCTTCATGAGAGGCCTGCAAGAACATCAGGGCTCTGTATTCATCATTTGGATACATTCTGGAAGGTGTTCTAATTTAATTAAAACTTTGAAAAGTACTGTCTTCTGGGATATGAATGCTGTGTAGTCTGGTAGAAGTTTACTGACTTTTGTAGGTATGTTAGTAAAATTCTATGAGACTACATGGCGCCATATCCCAGAAGACAGTATGTTTCTTAGTCACCACAGAGAGAAGCTCAGATCAAGTATAAATTGCATACAGTTGTTACTTCCTGTATACACTGAGGGATGCTAACAACTGACCTACAGGCCAGCAGCAACCAAATACATTTACAATCATCTCTAAACCATTAACATTATTTGATCATATCTATCTCTATTATAATTTCATCCTATTGCCCTCTTCTTTTCCAAATGTTTTGAACAAAATTTCCTCATTTTCTTCATTGTTGGTTTATACATTCAGTCTTTATCATAAGCACCTCATTACCAAAATACATCCAGTCATTCTTAACATAAAGCTCACCCCATAACTTAGATTCAGAATATGTGTGTTCTTTTAGGTTCTCTGATGGACTCAATTTGACACAGAAATCGCTTCCTGCTCTGTTAGATTCAATCTGACAACCCAACAATCTCAAAAAAATTAAGTGAAATTTACCATGGTAGTTTGTCATGTGTTCAAATAATTGGAACAATGGTCAAATCTGAGGATCTCACAGCAGTGACTATGAATATTACTGTGTTCTAGGGTGTGACAGGGTAGAAGATAATCTCTTCTTGTGCCATGAAGAAGGTAGGTGCAGGTTCCTGTGATACTACTAGACTGTGTGGCATCATTTCCCAGAAGGCAGCGATCTTCAGGTCCTCACCCTGTGACCTGCTGCACACAGATGACTTAGCCATTCATCAAGAGACACTAAGGACACTAAGGAAAGCGACAAACAAACCAAGTCCAACCCAGAACTACACTTCAATGTCTAGCCTTACAAATACAGGATGATTCTAAATTACTATCAGTGTTTCCATGGCCTATAATTCTCAAACCGAAAATAACAAAATAAAACTACTGACCCAATGTCAAAGTGTAATTCAAGAAGTTTTATTTTATGGGTAATAAAACTTTTTGAGTTACATTTTCATATTCCACAAGCAGTTTTATTTTGTTATTTTTGGTTTGAAAATTATAGGCCACAGAAACCCTGACAATAATTTAGAATTCATATTATAACAGTTACCTGCTTCAAGTCCTGGCCATTTCCATAAAGTATCGCATTTCCAACATACAGTGCACCACATTTTGCTGCTGCTCCTTCGGGCTCCAATTCTGAGATGAATATTCAGGACAGGATACATTCAGTTGAAAATAGTTTCTAATTTTTTATTACTGTATTTAATATCTCTCTTTCTATATTTATTATGATTTATTTAAAAAAATCTAAGGGGAGCAGATGCCTGGGCTGCTCCCTCCCTGCCAGAACCCATGACTCTTGGCATGGAAATCTGTACAGGCCAGGTTATCTCTGGTTACAGGGTTGAAGTCCATATTCTTCACAACACCAGGGCTTCTACGGAAACAGATGTTGTACCTGTTGATTTTCTTCGTGTCGTGCTTACATATCACTTAACAGCCATATTGGATGAGAAGAGCTTCTTATTACAATTCAAAACAAAAACAAATGAATATAGATCACTATTACCAACGTGAACATTTTTACATTACTAGATTCTCAACAGTCCTCCTTAATTTCAAAATGTTGTCAACATTATTAGCTGTTTTACAAAGTTAAATTGAATAACACTTAGTAATTTTGGTCTTCAGATTACAAAATTAGTACATGTAATTAAAATGTTCTCAGTCTTATCAAAATCAGACTTATTTCTTCTTAAGTATAATGTCTCTAAACTTGGTAAATTTCTCTGGTGATAGTGGTTTTGTTAAAATGTCTGCCACCTGAGTTTCAGTGTTACAATATTTGAATGAGAACAGTTTCTCTTTCAATTGTTCACTTATGTAGTGATACCTAACGTCTATGTGCTTACTCCTACGCATTATTTGTCCAGTTTCTATTAGCTTGATTGCACTCTTGAGTGTCAACACACAGTTCAGCTTCCACCCTTTTTCTTGTCGACTCCTCTATCAACGTCTTTAGATATTTCAATTCTTTACAGCACTCAGCTGCTGCAATATATTCGGTCTCAGTGGTTGATAATGCAACAATATTTCCTAGAGCACCATGATATTGGGCCCCCTGACATCATAATTACATATCCCATTACACTCTTCCTATCCTTTACATCCCCTGCATAATCAACATCACTAAATGCTTCCAGTTTCACTGTTTCGGAGTCAGATGAGGTATATTTTATTCCTGAATCTCGTGTACCTTTCACATACCTAAGGGTCCTTTTCACATTCTGAACAGCTATTTTGTCAGGATTTTCCAAGGTTCGACTTTCCACATTTACAGTGAATGCCATATATAGCAGGCTTCCTAGAGCTTCTCTGTAAGGAAATCTTATGTCATTTTCTCCTTCGTCATTCGTTGGTGGGGTTGTGGCCATGGGTGTTTTCATTTCTCGACTTTCTTGCATGTTGTATTTTTCCAACATTTGGCTTGCATAGTTGGTTTGAGCGATATGTATCCCATCTGGTTGCCTCTCAATTTGTATTCCTAAATAAACTTTTGGATTTGTGGTTTTTATCTGGAATTGATTTTCCCGTCATCCACATGAATGGCCATGAACACACTATCGGCATCATTCTTAAAAATGCATTGGTCAGATTTTAGTTGGTTTAGACCTTCTTCTTTTAGAAAGGTTGTCAACTTCTTGTTCCATTTTGATGGTGCTTGTCTTAGGCCATATAATGCCTTTTTCAGGAGACATACCTTTCCAGTGTTCTTGTATCCTTCTGGTATCTCCATATAGTTTTCCTCCTCAAGGTCTCCATACAGGAAGGCAGTCTTCACATCAAAGGTTTGCATGTTCATATTCTTACGTGCTGCTATGGCAAACAGTACTCTAAGAGAATGCATGTCAACAACTCGGCTAAAGGTATCCTTGAAATCTATTTCACCTTCCTTTTGTTGACATCCTCTCACAACCAGTCTGGCTTTGTGTCTTCCATCATCCTTTATTTTGAAAAACCATTTACTGGTCAGAATTTTCTTGCCCGTTGCTTTCTCTCTGTTTACATATATCCAAGATTTGTTTTCGTAGAGCGAATGCTTTTCCTCTTTAATGGCTTTCTTCCACTTCTCGCTGTCTTCGCTCTCCATGCACTTGTCATATGTATAGGTGAGCATACCCTCCTTTTGACTCTCTGTGTGATAGTCTCGGTACTTTGCGTGCATTTGAATGTTTCTTCTTGGTCTCAATGCATATCCATGTTCGTTTTGACCATTGTTTTTCTTTCCATTATCCTTGTGGTCAGCATTTTCATTTTCTTCAGTATCTGTTGGTTCTTCTTCATTGTTGTCAGCTTTGGGTTCTTGCTGCATTTCGCTATCTTCCTGATCTGGAGTATTTGGCTTGTCTTCTGGATCCGTCACTCTTTCCATTTCCTTTTGTTTATTTGTTGTCACAGGTTTACTTGTGAATGTCACGTCTCTGGAGACAGGTCCTTTCAGTATTTGGATCCCATATTCTGTAGCCATTTGTGTTGTATCCAACGAATATTCCTTTCTTGCTATGACTGTCCAACTTTTTCAATGGTCCAAGAATTTTAGTGTACACATCTGAACCAAAAATCTTCAATCCAGCCATATCTGGTCTTTTGCCATACCAATTTTCCGCTGGCGTTCCATTCAGTGTCACTGTTGGACATCTGTTTAGCAGGTATGCAGAAGTGAGTACAGTTTCACCCCACATTCTCTTAATTAAACCTGAGTCAAAAATCAATGCTCTTGCCTTTTCCACAATGGTACAGTTCATGCTTTAGGCAGTGCCATTTAGCTGTGGCAAATATGGGGTAGTAAATTCCATTACAATCCCCTTCTTCTTACACCATTCTCTCAAGGTGTTGTTCTTATATTCCCCTCCATTGTCCCATCTTATTCTTCTCACTCTTGTATTGAAGTGACACTCAGCTTCATTTACATATTCCTTCAAAAAGGTATACACTTCACTCTTATTTTCTAACAGGCATATCTTACAAAAATGTGTATAATCATCCACACACGTAAGGAAATATTTCTTATTGCCATATGTGGTGGGATCAGTTGGTCCACACACGTCACTATGAATTATCTCTAATGGCCTTCCAGCCATACTTCTTTCTCTATCAAGGGAGTCTCACTTGTTTGGCCTGCATACAAACTTAACATATATCAAAATTTTTACACTTGCTCACACTTTCTGGTATCCCTTGGCATATCTCTTGTAGTTTCCCAAGATTCACATAACTTATGTGGCCTAGCTTTCTATGCCACTCTACACTTATATCTTGCTGAGTCATCATAGCTTCATTCATCACGGTAAAGTTAATTACAAACAATCCATTTTCATCCTTTTTTCCTTCAATTACAACATTTTTGTCCTTGAATATCTGGACTTTCTCTTTTGTAAACAACACTTCTCCATCATTTTCTGTTATACACTGCATTGACAGTAGGTTTTTGCTGAGTTCTGGAACATATGAAACGTTTTTCAAACTACACTCTTTGAATTCCAACCTGCCTATTTCCTTTGCGGTCATACTTTGATTTTTCTTTGCTACCTTTATACATTGAGTATACTGCTTAGTGTGTATCAAATCAGTCTTCACATGTGTCATATGACATGTGCTACCACTATCCACTACATACATTTTGTCTTTTTCATTTGCATCACTCAGGTGTGTTTCTGCTGCTTCAGCTAGAAAATTGACCTTGCTTCTTTTATTCCTATCTTTAAAATAACAGTCCTTTTCAGCATGGTTCGTTTTCTTACATACTGTACATTGTTTTCTCGTATCACTGTCCTTATTTCTAAAGTAACAGTCCTTTTCAGAGTGACTATTCCTTTTACAGATAGAGCAATTTCTCTTACCTTTGTTGTAGCAGTTGATCTGGGCATGACTTATTTGATTACAACTGAAACATTTGAAAGGGCTTTTACTTTTGGTTTTAGTTACTGTCTTAAAAGCTATGCTTTCCTCCTCTTTAGTTGTCATCTTGCACTTCACTTCTTCAAACATTAATCTGGCCACCAGGTTGTCAAGGGTTCTGTCCATGGTCGCCGTTGAGTCCCAGGCGGTGCTGAAGCGTTTGTAGTCTTCTGGTAGAATCGTTATTTTTGTCATGATCATGTTTTCATCAACGTTTTGGTTCAGTTGACGAAGCTTGAAGGCAATGTTCTGCACATGACTTACATTCGTCATCATATCCTTAATTTTGTCATACTTGAAGTTGTAAAAGTCTTGTAGCAGAAGGCACTTCTGTTGAGAGGTGTCTCGCTGATAAATCTGCTTCAAGGTGTCGTACATTTCTTTCGCGGTTGTGTATGTCACAATGTGGGTCTTCACGTGTTTCTCTATCGTTCTAAATCTGCTTCAAGGTGTCGTACATTCCTTTCGCGGTTGTGCATGTCACAATGTGGGTCTTCACGTGTTTCTCTATCGTTCTATGTACTATTGGCACTTTGAACACGCATCTTCCATTTCGTCACATTTTCTTCGTCTCTTCCTTGGTCACTTACAGGTCGCAGCCATCAACGATGTTTATCAGTTCTTTTGCACGCATCGGAATCTTGATTTCAAAATCCCACAATGGAAATGAGTCAGCGTCCTTCAGTTTTGGCAGATGCGTTACCTCTTCTCTCTCTGTGGTTGCCATTTTTCGTTATTCTTCTTCTGTCTTCTCCTCTTTTTTTTTCTTTCCTACTTTCTTTTTAGTTTTTGAGCAAAACTGGGCCCATAACCTGTTGATTTTCTTTGTGTCATGCTTACATATCACTTAGCAGCCATATTGGATGAGAAGATCATTTTATTATAATACAAAACAAATTATAGATTTATAGATCACCATTACCAACGTGAACATTTTTACATTACTAGATTCTCAACAGTACCAAGGCCATTTTTATTTCCAGTATTCTAGGAAAAATTTGTTTTCACAGAAATTTTTTGCGAAATAGCGTGTACGACCGACAGAGTAGGGTAGAGATACAGTTCGTAACTCGTATTCTGGTGGTCTTCTTTTCGAAACCTGGCCGAGTTTTCTTTCTTTTTTTTTGGTTTCCCTCAGCCCCTCCAGGCAAATTCCAGGGTGGTACCGCGATTTGACAATAATATCTACCAGCCCCGTGAAACTCCCATGTTATAGGTTGGCAACAAGGCCGCCATGACACCTCGGTGCAATGCTGCTGCCATTTATTTTCAGCTAACTAAATTTAAACTGGCCTCCAGGGCCGAGAGCACAATCGGTAAGAAGGTTTGCTACCTTAGCAACTATTTTGAGTTCTCCCCCTCACAATTCTTTTTTTCGCTTCTTGAAATAACTACTTTAAAAACAGATCTCTTTCCTTCTGGCTTTCCCACCAATATCCTGCCCTGGCAGGGCATGTAGCACGAATGGGGGAGGCTAGGAATGCAGATAGGATATTGGTGGGAACGCCAGAAGGAAAGAGACTGCTGGGAAGACCAAGATGTAGGTGGGTGGACAATATTAAAATGTATCCTAGTGAGATAGGATGGTATGGTAGGGATTGGATTGATCTGGCTCAGAATTTAAATTTATATAACTTCCACACGAGACCCTCCTCTTGCCTACTTTTTAAGAAAACTTTGAAAGGAGCAAATTCCTCAACAGAGGTAATTTGGTTTTTATATTCACTCATACTTTTAGAAATGGCTCCCAGATATACAGAGTGTTTCGCGACTTTAGGGCATAACTGCACGAGGTAATTTCCTAGGTCTTTATGATCAAAAAAGTTCATATAAACATATGTCCGATTTTGGACGGTTACGGAGTTATGACCGTTTTTTCATTCCCGTACACACCCTCGTATGAACCGCGTCTGTCAGCTGGCAGGTCGCTATTTTTAGCCAGCTACAGACAGAGCGTTCTCGTTATCTCGACACCTGAGAGCGGGGTGGGTTGGTATGTCCGGCGCGGTTCACAACCGAGCGGCAGGCTGTATTGCGGCCGGCAGTGACATTTTCGAAAATCAGCTTTAAGCACCAGTCAATTCAAATTAAAGGTAATTTCACGAAGTTAACTTTACATTCATACTTTAAATGTATCATGTATTATGCTGGTTTATTATTTTGTTCCGTTTATTGTCAGTAATCGTTACCTTCTGTTCTGAGTTTAAAGCGATCATACCTCCGTAACCGTCCAAAATCGGACACATGTTTATATAAACTTTTTTGATCATAGAGACTTAGGAAATCACCTCCTGCAGTTATGCCCTAAAGTCGTGAAACACCCTGTATAGGATCTCTTGAGAAGCCTCTCTCCTATGTTTATACATATATTGAATATGTAGCATGAACTTGATTTTGCGTAGCTTGTATCGAACGAAATCTCTGAATTGCGTGCAGTCCGCCGAGGATTCGAAGCAGATACCTACCGAATACATGGTATGAACTGAGTACCGCTGAATACTATGTACTTCATGGCGTCGAATGTGAGACATTAAGAGACGAAGGCTGCGCCATTGCTCAAGCGGTTAGTCGTTGGCTTCCCACCCCGGCGGTCCGGGTTCTTTCCCAGGTCTGGTCAAGTGGGATTTTTGGTGGACAAAGTGTAGCTGGGGCGGATTTTTCCCGAGTACTTCGGTTTCCCCTACCAATTTTCATTCCTCCAAATTCGCCATCATCATAATCACCCGGGGCAGGTACAATAGGCCAATCAGTGGCCGCCGTGCCGAGTGGACCCAGCTGGACTGCACCTCCCCAATAAGCAAATAAAAAAAAAGACGAAGAATGAATGGCGGAGGGAGAAACAGCGTAAGCAACGGTGGGTACTTGAAGTGCATTCGTTTGGGTCAGTCCATCAAACAGAGGTAAACACGTTGGTAGTTAAACGTGACATGAATTTCTTCTTGGGAGATTTCCTTAGACTTGTTTCTCACGTTCCAACTCCCTGCGACAATTCTGACTTGCAGGATTTGTGCGTCTCACAGCGTTGCTGCATGTTATATGATCTGAAGAAACGTACAGACTAGCGATAACCCCACTCAAGGCTTGCAGCAGTAGCCTGGGTAGAACGATAGGGTGGAGGGAGGGTTGTACATCCGCGTCTGAGCTCGTCTTTCGCTTGCTCTGCTTAGTTCGCTGTCAATTGATCTGTTTCTATGCAAAAGTCTAGTGGTAGCTGCCCCTTTTTAGCCTACTTTCCTTATTTTAAAAAAATGAAAGTAGGCATATGCGATCTCCATGCTGTCTGTGTATCTTCCCCGCCACCATCAGTTTCTGGACGGCTGAACCAATGTTTATGAAACCTGGTGTGTATATCATGGCACCTGAGCTCATTTCAGGAGCATACTTGATAAATCCTTCCCACCAGTCTGTGTGTCTACATGTGTGTCCCGCCCTTAAATAACTATGGCATGATTCGTGACATCAAGTTCCCAGCAGGGAGCGAGGGGCGTGTGCTAATTATCGGGAGGTGCAGCTGAACCCCTGATCGGGGCGCAGACTTCTACGTGCCCATTAGATTAGCGGCCCATTTGACACTGTGACAAGCACCTGAAGCGAAGTACAGTAAGAGTTTAATCCATTCTGGTGAGAGGGCTCAACGTTTTAACAACCATGCCTTTAAGAACCAGATTAAAACTTCTCCCATCCACCTCTAGATCTTCTTAATTTCCATTACGTTTTCCTACAAAACTCTGTACTTCTAATGTCTTCCATCCAAGCTACATGCCCAGTCCATCATAATGTATAAAAACTACACAACCCATAATATTTTTCAATTGTCTCGTGTTTTAACTCTTCTAAGAGCAACGTATTTTCCTGAACACGATGCTTTCAAACACTTATAATTAATTCTCTTCTCTTGAAGCAGAAGCCACGTTTTAAACCCGCACAGAGCAGTTAGTGAAGTTATCGTTTTATATTTGCTGATTGTTATCATTTTCGAATATTTGCGTGATTAAGAACAATTTAACTAGGCATTTATGATTTATTAAAAACTCAGGAAATCAACGCCGATCACGGTGGCAGCGCGGTCTAAGGCATGACCTGTTTTCGCCTGCTCAAACACTGGGGTCGTGGGTTCGAATCCCACTTGAGGTATGGATATTGTCTACGTTTATTCTGTGTTCGTATCGTCCTCTGCAGGTAGCAGCCTTGTGACAGGCTGATCCCCCGTCCAAGGAGTCCTACCGGCTGTCNATATTGTTAAGATCTTTTCTTACAGGGGCTTGTCACCCTCCTTCATGCACTTCGAGAATGACCTCCACGCCACTATACACATCCAAAGCTAACAACTTAGGACGCGGAAGTAAATTTATCGTTATTTTCATGTTTAATATTCAGCTCGAGAACTTAACGAAAGAAGCGCCAAATTATACATCTACTGTATCATTAACTTATTCATTTATCTCTCCCGCGTCGAAAATTCCCTCGCAATTTTGTTTCCAAACACCTGTGCTCTTCACTGGGCGCGAGAAACTAGACTGTGTAACCGAGCTGTGATTGGACGGTGCTATCTTCCTATATTTATTTAATTTTAAAATCCGAAACAAACGAGATTTTGCCAAAAATTTAGAGGAGACTTTATGCGTAATATTATTTTGTTCGATCTCGGAATATAAAATGTGGAATATTTAACACGATAGGAGTGACATCTCGAACCCCCTCCCTTATTATGACGTGTCCTTCGCACAGGTCAGAGAGCCGTTGCGTGTGAGGGAGGTAAGATGTGATAAGCGTGTGCTCCAATTCTGCAGCTTTGCTTGCATATTTTGTGCAGCTAGGACAGCGTGAATTCCCGTGAGTTGTGTTAATTACATGATTTGCAAGTATTTGTGACTTTGTATCAATTGAGTTGAGCTAAATGCATTATAAAATCATTCAGAAACCACTTTGCATTAGTTCGTGAACAACAAGTCTTCGTACTTCACGAAGTAGGTAGGCTGTTTGTAATAGCAGGGAAGTGAGAATTACACATTTTCCAAGAGTTTCATACATATTTGCATTATAATTTCGATTTAAGTCGCATATATCATGACTACTAAATGTATAATTACTATTTGCATAAGTTAATTAGTGGGAAGAACTTGCAAATTTGGCGATAATTTTGGCGGTTTTTTGAAGAGACAAAAACTTAAATATCTGTGGTATTCTAAAAGGAGCAACTTGTTTAGAAGTTCAGAAGCATTCATTTGCAAAATTTCAGAGTAATAACGAATCCACTGCTTTCTAGGAACTATATAATTTGTAATTTACCTGTTCACATACTCGTATTAAGATGTAGTGTTTACTTCATTTGCTTGTAGCCATATTGGATTTCCGGGGCTTTAGGCGCCACGATGAGCTTTCCAGAATAAATATAAATTACTAGTTCAATATTATGAATTAATAATTACGATGCTTTGTGAAGTTCATAGTAATTTATTTTCTAGATTTTAACGTCAGAATTTCAGGTAAAAGTTTGCTTTGCTTCTGGATAGAAATACTGTATTATAATATTTACGAAATATTTAATGAAATTAGTGCCTTTGCGGCGGCCGGATGTAGCCATTTTTATATCATATTTTGTCATTGAAGGCCATGCACTTGTATTGCCGCCATTTTAACATTAACGACGTAAAAGTTCCAAGGCCAAGCAATACAGTCTAAATTAGTTTAAAGAAGCAGTAAATTATTATGAAAATACCAGTTACGGAATCAAATTTTGTGTTCTAAAGTGACAGTAAAGCTTAAACTGTTAGTACTGTGATGCAGCTATTTTTCGCA